TACCCATACAACTTATCTAAAGCTGCAACTTCTTTCGGCAGAATTTCCTGCTAAGAAGCTGTCAAATTCCTTCCTTTTTGACGTTTTAAGATATCTCAAACTCTTCCATTTTGTTCAACTCCTCAAAGAAAAAGTCTTCTATTTCCATCTGCAATGGAACAGAATACTGAAATTGTTAACAACAAAGCTTATCAATCGAACTATTAATGAAGGTTCACTTTTAGGGGATATATTGGAGCACAACAACTTTAACCTCTTCAGAAAGCATGCCACTCAAGCTAGCTTGTAGAAAAACCAGTGGTATACGACAAGACCTATTTTGTATTCTGCTGACATTACCATAACCGTGCTTTGTAAATGAAGAGCTATGCAAAATTACAATGGCAAAAGTCACTTTGAAATAAAAGTAAGCAGAAAAAAAAAAAGGTTTCTGTCATAAATCTATAAATAAAGAAACTAAAACAAAGATGTCAAAACAACATGTTCCCAGTTGAAAGTCTAAGTTCCCAAATGCTTAATATATTACAGCTAAAATTTGACCTCAAGGTAACCGATTCTCACAAAAATGTCACGAGACAGAAGATTTTGATGGACGAATAATTTGCGAAACTCTAGTGCTTGAACATGACTAGAAAAATGTGGTAATGTATTGATCCAAAATCAGGTTGCATACCTGAAATACAAATCTTAATGACTGATGAAAATCTTGAGGCCTTCAATTCCTTGCTCCTCAATGTCTCTGACTGACTCTTCTGTGGAATACCCACAACGTTGCACTTCAATCATCAGCAAGGTAGGTGTCAAAATTTGAGTAAATTGACTGGAATCGGCCCCTTTCCTCTTCCTGGTCCTTTCTATTAAATAAGAATTCCTGTACAATCTATTTTTGGTAAACCCCTATATACACTTGATTGATTGACCTAATATACAGCTATTGTAACTGATTTTCAATTCTAGGTAAGAAATATATACAGATTTTAGCCATAATGTCTGTCATAATCTGCCATAATCTTTCCCATAATATCTGCCACAATCTTTCCCATAACCTCTGCCATATAATCTGCCATAATCTTTCCCATAATATCTGCCACAATCTTTCCCATAACCTCTGCCACAATCTCTGCCATTGATACCATTGATATCCCCCCTCAAATTGATGCTGACTGATCAACAAGCATCAATTTGTCAACAAGAAAGTGATGACGATTTTTGGAGAGAGCTTTAGTAAACACATCCGCAATCTGGAGATCAGTGGGGATATGTGGAAGAGAGATGACCTGAGCATCATATGATTCACGAATAGAGTGACAATCCACTTCAATGTGTTTGGTACGCTCGTGAAATACTGGATTAGCAGCAATTTGAATTGCACTAGTGTTGTCGGCATGGAGCGGTGTAGACCCTTTTTGAGGAAACCCGAGCTCACCTAACAATCCACGGAGCCAAACAATTTCAGAGCATGCAGAAGACATAGCACGATACTCAGACTCCGTAGAAGACTTAGACACCCTGTCTTGCTTCTTGCTTTTCCAGGAAACGAGAGAAGTACCAAGGAACATGCACTAACCAGTAACTGAACGTCCAGTATCAGAACAACCAGCCCAATCAGCATCACTATATGTACAGGCGAATAGGAGAGTTTGCTGGAAAGAAAAGACCACGAGAAGAAGTGCCTTTCAAATAGCGAACAATGCGGCGAACAGCTGCCAAATGAAGGTGCCGAGGTGCTTGCATAAACTGACTAACTTGTTGAACAGCAAAAGAGATATCAGGGCGAGTAATAGTCAAGTAGTTTAGACTACCCACCAGCTGTCGATATAAAGACGGATCAGAGATAAGATCACCTTCATCATGACGATATTTAACATTCACTTCCAAAGGGGTATCAACGGATCGACCATCTTGAAGACCAGCCAAAGCAATTAACTCCCGAATGTATTTGTGCTGGTGTAAGAAAATACCGGTGGAACTAGAATATACCTCAAGACCTAAAAAATACTGTAAAGAACCCAGGTCTTTCATATGGAAACAACGTTGAAGATGGTCTTGAAGTTGAGAAATCAATGCAGAATCAGTCCCGGTAATAACAATATCATCAACATATACAAGAAGTATGACAATGCCTTTAGATGTCTTGCAAAGAAACAAAGAGGAATCATACTGGCTTTGGACAAAGGAGAAACCAAGAAGTGTGGAACGAAATTTATCAAACCAAGCACGTGGAACTTGTTTCAAACCATAGAGTGATCGTTTCAACTTACAAACATCACCTGAAGGTGTGGAGAATAACCCTGGTGGTGGAGTCATATAAATGTCTTCTTTCAGATCTCCATGTAAAAAGGTATTCTTAACGTCCATCTGTCGCAGTGACCATCCCTTAGAAGCAGCAATGGCAAGAACAAGTCGTACCATAGTCATCTTTGCTACAGGAGCAAATGTCTCCTCATAATTGATTCCATATTCCTGTCGATTACCAAGGGCCACCAATCTCGCTTTATGTCTATCAAGCGTTCCATCAGACCGTAATTTAATGGAATAGACCCATTTGCAGCCAATGGGTTTTACACCAGTAGGACAAGGTACGATGTCCCAAGTATGATTCTCCAAAAGAGCTTGAAGTTCTTCGTCCATAGCTTTTATCCAACATGCATGTTTAGTTGCTTGAGAATAAGAGGAAGGTACTGCAGTGTCAACTAAAGCGGCAGAGAAACCATACCTATCAGGAGGTTTGCTGATACGGGAAGATCGTCGCAGAGTCACAGAATCCTCAGAAGTGGTAGGCAGTGGAGCAGGATCGGGAAGGATTTCTAATGATGGAAGTCATCAACGTTGATAGACAATACCAGGTCTAAATCGTTGAATTGGTGGAGAGATATCATCAAAGTTAGGAAGAACAACATTGTTGGAAGAAAAAGTGTGCTGCTGAAAATAGTACTCATGCTCAAAGAAAATGACATGTCGAGAGACACGCAAACGATTAGCAACAGCATCATAACATAAGAATCTTTTTTGAGTGGTGTTATAGCCCATAAAGGCACACCGAACTGACTGAGCTGCAAGCTTGTGGCGCTCATGAGGTGGTAGGTGAACAAAACAAACACAACCAAATGTGTGTAGCATGTGATAATTAGGATGTACACCAAAAAGATGATAATAAGGAGAATCAAAACCCAATTGTTGAGAAGGCAATCGATTAATCAAATACACAGCAGTTGACAAGGCTTCAACCCAAAATCTAGGGGGTACAGAAGATTGCAAGAGTAATGTTCGAACCATATCCAACAAATGGCGGTTTTTGCGTTCAGCCACCCCATTTTGTTGAGGGGTATAAGGACATGATCTCTGAGATACGATCCCTTTGCGTTGCAAGTAGGCTTGGAAGTCATGTGACACATATTCCCCACCATTATCAGACCGTAAGATCTTAATACAAGTGGAAAATTGTGTCTCAATGTAAGCCACAAAGGTTTGAAAAACAATAAACACCTCAGCTTTAGTGCGCAGGAAATATATCCATGTGAACCGACTATAGTCATCAATGAATGTCACAAAGTATTTATACTGCGCATGTGAAATGACAGGAGTAATACCCCAAACATCACTATGTATTATCTCAAAGCATGCACTAGCACAACCAACAGAAGTAGGAAAATGTAACATCTTACTCTTTCCCAATTTACACACAGAACAATCAAGAGATGATGCATGAGTAAAACCTTGATCTTTAGCACCAAGAAAACCACGCTTTATTAAATCAGATAAAATGACATTATTTGGATGGCCCAATCGTCTATGCCAAATTTCAGCCTTATTTTCAACAATCATAGAGGCTAAAGATAAAGTTCTAGGAACAGTAAATTGCAATGGAAATAATCTTCCCACTCTAGGCCCCTTCGCGATTACCTTCCCCGACATCTGGTCCTGCACAAGACAACCACCACGAGGGAAATGTACGTCACAATGATTCTCCACTAGCTGTCCAACAGAGATTAAATTAGTAGACAACTTAGGAGCAACAAATACATGGCGAAAAGAATGTCCAATATCACCAATAGCTGTAATTGGAAGATTACTACCATTAGCAATCTGAATATTTTGGCGACCAGTATATGGCCGCAAATTTTGTAAAAAATCAGATGAACCAGTCATATGATTGGTCGCTCCTGAGTCGATAAACCAAGTAGATGAAGCTGGCTTACCTTGACCTTGAAGACCAAGGGCAGAAAATGCAGTAAGAATCATCTGCTGGACCATTTCTGGGGTCATAACAATCTGGCTGGTTGTAGATGTAGGACCAATAACAGGAGCATCTGGAACAGTAGCTTGAAAAGCTTGGGCTCGCCTGTTTTCCGGACGTGTAGGACATTCCTTGAGAATATGTCCACTTTGCTTACAGTAATTGCAGAATTTCTTACCACAATTGCGAGCAATATGGCCAAACTCCTTGCAGCTGTAGCACTGCATTTGTCCCTTTCCTCTATTCCTTCCTTGTGCAGCATAAGCAACATTGACAACCTCTGATGTCCCACCAGCTGCACTTAGAATTGACTGTGTAGCCAATCTTTGTTCTTCCCGTAACAATTCACCAACACACACATCCAAAGAAGGAACTGGATTTCGATTCAGCAATCCACCCCGAGCAGTCTCAAATTCTGGCCTCAGTTTCATCAAAAACTGATCACGCATGCTAACTTGATGAACTTTTTGAAAGCTTGCTAAGGCCTCCTTAGGTATCTCAGAGTAGATGATATCAGAATATTCACCCCACAGATTTAGAAATTCAGAATAATATTGCTCAATAGAGAGATTACCTTGACTGAACTTACTGATATCAAGTTCAAGCTGAAATCGTCTTGCAGTGTTGTGTTGATGATATATGCGTTTCAGAAAATTCCATATCTCCTTTGCAGTATTAAATGAACATAAGCTGTTCACCATATGAGGTTCAATGGATGCTAAAATCCATGAAATAATTCGTGAATCATTTGTCTCCCATTGACTTATTTCTTTCTCAGTTCCAGAAGCAGTAGAAGACCCCAAAGCTCCTTCCCTTTCAGAAACATTCTGAACTGAAATTCCCATGTTGCATAATTCTTCCCTGTAAGTCTGATACCCAAAGTCTCTGCAGATTGTCTTCAAAAAGAATTCTCAGCAGCCATTCTTAACGAAACTCAAATGCAAATCCGAAATCACAGATTGATAAACTAAGAAATATCAAAATCAGAATGTTGAATAGAAATCAACCCAAAAAGCTATAGAAAAAAAACACTCAAAATATCTTATAGATTCAAAAGGTAGGCTTTGATACCATGTCAAAATTTGAGTAAATTGACTGGAATCGGCCCCTTTTCTCTTCCTGGTCCTTTCTATTAAATAAGAATTCCTGTACAATCTATTTTTGGTAAACCCCTATATACACTTGATTGATTGACCTAATATACAGCTATTGTAACTGATTTTCAATTCTAGGTAAGAAATATATACAGATTTTAGCCATAACCTCTGCCATAATCTGCCATAATCTTTCCCATAATATCTGCCACAATCTTTCCCATAACCTCTGCCATATAATCTGCCATAATCTTTCCCATAATATCTGCCACAATCTTTCCCATAACCTCTGCCACAATCTCTGCCATTGATACCATTGATAGTAGGTATTTCCCCAAAAGAGAATGGAACTGCCTCAAGTTCTTTACAGTGTCGCAAAAGTAATTGCTGAAGGTTGGGAAGGTGATCGCAAGTGGCATTCCACTCAACAACATCCAGAGAATCTAACTTCAAGAATTTCAGCTTTAGGAACTCCCCTTCCTTCATGTCCCATCTCCGGCCCTCAAAGGCATTAGAAAGTAATTTGAGAACCTCAAGGTTTTGTAGTCTCCCAATAGCAGACATATGTTTCCATGGCAGGCGAAGCTTGGACAAAGTCAACTTTTTCAAATTCAGGGGGAAACTCAATTCTCCCTGATTAAGGGCCCTACCAGAGATGTTGAGTGATTCAAGCTGATTCAGAATGCCAAATTGTGGAAATTGATTACATCCCATAGAAGAATTCGGAGATTCAAAAATGATGCATCTTAACCTGTGAAGATTGGGAAATCTCCTCATTATCTTCAATGTCTCCTTCCCTCCAGAAAGAGCTGGTGTGGAAAGAGTTACTAAGTTATCCAATACCAAGGAACTTTCAAGTGGGTCGTCTTGCAAATCAAACACAGCAGAACTATTTACATGAACATGTCTTAACATTCTCATGCTCCAAATAATACCTGGTAATACAATCATACCTTTTAATCCCTTCACAAGAAACGTCTCTAGTTTCCAGAGGCTGGCTATTGATGGTGGAATAGAATCCAGATCCCCACTGACTGCTAAGTACCTTAGCTGAACTAATAAATCAATTCCAACGGGAAAGAACATGCCCATATTGATGGATTCCAAATCCAACACCCTGAGGAGCTTAAAATTTTGAAAAATGAATGTGATATCATATGGGCATCTGGGATACCTATCAGTAATTGCAGAAAATAGCAGAGACCTTGTTCTTGGACCAGAAGGTTTTGATTTGATGAAATGCCTTCTCTCCAAACAAATGCAAAGCCGATGTCTTTCATATATTAATGGTTTTGAAGGGTAATAATGATCAAAATCAACATCATTATCTAAACCATCAAAAGAAGCAAATGGCTCATCACGCTTGGTAATTGGCTGGAGAAACATTTCTTCCTTAGATCTTGCCAGGCACAAATCATGTAGCATGTCATGAACTCGACATGTTTTGACCCCACCTATGGATCTTCTTTTAGAAACCAGTACAAGGCTTCGACCAACTAAGTCCATCAGGTAGTCCTCTCCTAGATCCTCTAAGCTTTTCTTAATAAAACCTTCAGAAATCCACAACCGTATCAACTTGCGCACAGAGATATCTTTGTCCTCCAGGAATACTCCGAAATAAAGGAAGCATGCTTTCAAATTGTATGGCAACTGGCAAGTGCTCATAACTCAGCTCTAGGATTTCCTTGCACTGGGTTTGTGGATCATCTATTAACCTTCTGCCCAAACTGTCAACAATTTGTTTCCACAAGTCTGGTTTCTTTTCCGTCCTTTCAAGGAGACCAGCTACTGCAACCACAGAAAGAGGTAGTCCTTTACATTGTTGAGCAATTTCCTTTCCAACTCCAAGCAATTCTGTTGGGCAACCTTTTCCATGAAAGCTCTTCAGTTGTAGTAAGCTCCAACTTTCATCATCAGTGAGGAGACGAAGAAGAAATGGATCACTATTAGGTTTAGCATTCAAGGCTACATTGTGGATACGACTTGTTATTAGAATTCTGCTACCATTTTTATCATCAGGGAATGATCTTTCCAAGTCATCCCATGGCCAGGGGCGGAGGGAAGGGGGGGCCAGGGGGGGCAGCCGCCCCCCCTCCAATTGTTAAAAAAAAAATTTCGAAGTAAAAAATTTTTTATTATATTGTTTTGCCCCCCAAATATTGATAAAAAATTTCACTTTGCCCCCCCTCCAATTGTTATAAAAAAAATTTTTAAGTAAAAAAATTTTTATTATATTGTTTTGCCCCCCAAAATATTGATAAAAATTTTCACTTTGTCTCCTCTCAAGGACCCAAACAATAATGTTTGAAAGTTATTTGGATTTGATTCAAATAACAGAGACTCGCCCCCCCTAATTGCAATTCCTAGCTCCGCCACTGCCCATGGCCCTGTGCTTCACATGTCATCCATAACTATGAGATACCTTCTTCCTTTTAATTGCTGATACAACTCTTGATCTAAATCTTCATCTGTCATTTGATGAATGTTGTCAGTAAGCCCGCTAATGTTGCTTAATATGTCAAGCAACACCTGCCTTTTACTATACACTTGTGAGATACAACACCATGCACGAATGTGAAAGTGATAAGTAATTCTAGAATCATTGTATAACTTCTTGGCCAAAGTTGTCTTACCTATTCCTGGCATACCCACAAGAGAAACCATATCTTGTTGCAAGGAACCTTTTATAAGTCGATCAATTATCACTTCTTGCTGATCATTGAGACTTACAACCACTTCATCAAGTTCTGGGGCACTGACTTGTGATATCATATGGCTTGAACTTCTGGCGACATTATGGGGTATGTCATCCCAAGTCTTCTCCCAGTAACTTTTGGCTGCCTCCATCTTAATATGGCCAATCTCTCCTAAGAGAGAGTCAAGCCATGACAGATGTTGCGAGCGATCTCCAATGCCAACCTCGATTGAGTCAATGACGTATTCCACCTTGTATGCCACCTCCGTAATGCATTCACAGAGAAGTTTCAGTTCTTGATGTTGAGTATTTTTCTTTACCATACCATTGAGAAAAGATCCCAAGAACTCCATATCCCTCTGGATTCTTTCAATTTGATTCTTCACTGCTGCAACTGACTTAGATTTATGGATTTGCAGCATCTTAAGGTTTGTCAAGAGAAAATCAATACACCCCAATCCGTTAGTCTTGGGGAAATATGATTCTTGAACTTGGGAATAAAGCTTTCTCAGCTTTACCTTGTTGAGTTTATTCTGATCTAACAACTCTGAAAGCATAAGGTCCACTCTTTTGATCAACTCCTCGGTAATGTTGTTGGTTATAACTGTGTGATAGAGATATATTATCCTTCTAGCCATGGCTTCAGTGTTTTTTAAGATGGGCTCCATATAGTCTGAATTCTCCTCTGATTTATATGCAACAAATGCCATGTGCAACTTCAGCCCCTCATGAATAGATTGAATTCGCTCGTTTGTGAGTGAGTGCAAATTTGAATTACCATTCAGCATCTCTGAAAGAAAAAACTCTGCCTTGAAAAGCAGCAGGAATACTGATTCTCTCATCCTTTCCTCTGTGATTTCTTTGGCAAAAAAGAATTCAAAAATAGATTGTAGCTCCCTAAGAACATTTTTAATCACTGCTAAGTTCTGTTTGCAAAGTATTGTCTTCTTCCCTCTCAGATCAATCGAAAAGCTGCTCAAGTTTTTCAGTTCATTGTCAAGTGATGTAATTCCAGCCTTCCGATACGAATATGATATGTAGATGGTATTTGCATATAGTGATCCCATGAGGAAATGTTCTGCTTTCAGAAGCCAAATCTTTTCCTTGATAAGTCTAATCTTTGCACTCCTGGCCTTGGTAGAACGTGGAAATTCTCTTAATGAATTACTTAGAGCCTCCCGATAACTGCTTTACTTTCTGTCAGGAAAGTTTCCACCTCGTGAGAGGGGTTCTCTGGTTGAGTGATAGCGAGTTGTATCACATACTTCAGCTCATCAGCAACAGCTAGTGTCCCTTCCCCGTTGAGGAGATAATTGAGAAAGCCAGTTATCTTATGCGTAGTTGTTTGGCCGGGCTTAATTTCGTTGACAGCTCTAAGAAGCTTCAGATGCACTTCCAGAAACTCTGGAGTTGAAAGGTCAATCTCCTGTTGCAAATTCAATATCGCCATGATCGTCCTTCTTTTCTCATCAGTGTCCATTTTCTTGAACCAGTAAAGGCAAGAGAGGTTTGCTAAGCGAATGGCCACAGACGCTACATGCTTGATCAAACTATCAAGTATGTGATTCGGAAGGAATTGTTTCATAAATGATTCAGCATCTGGTGCCCACATTGTTGCAACTACTTTTAGGTCCTCAAGTTCAGCTAAGGGACGGAAACCAGTTACTACACATTGAAGGAAAGTTCCAAACGACCTTAGCTTAACTTGAAAGGCTAAAAGTGGTGCATGAAGGTCTATATCAATAGTGTCCAAGCAAGCCTTTAGATTGCTTTCCAGAGTAAAAACAGAATCTATCCAGAATGGATAATCAGGCAGGTGAGAGAGCAATTCGAACTTACTGGTGAGCAAAAGGCGATTAGCTTCTCCAATTTCTGGCTTCATACGCTCAACCCTTTGTTGTGAGTGGCGAAGGAAATCCATCAATCTCGAAGGGCTTTTGGAAATGTAATTCTTTTCACGAGCAAGCCTGATGTCCTTGGCAATCTCAGACAGCGCTATGCCAACTTCATTGAGCAAAGGTCTAAAAGACAGCTTAGCCCAGTAGGAAACATATTGCTCGAATGCCAACAGAAATGGCACCTCCATTTGAAGTCGATCAATAAGAGCAGCCAGAGCATCGTACAACACATCATCCCCCACCCCGCTTGAATCCTGCACAATCATCCTCTTAACTCTAGCCAAAAGCCGTAGAGATCCATGTTGATGCTGCTGAAGTCTCACACTTTGCAACTGGTCTTGGAGTTCTTGCAAGGCAGGACCAAGATTATAACGATATTCAGCCATCATTCAATCCTCAGCGGCAACAGAGAAAAAACTAGGAGACAATCACTTTGAAATCAAAACCTATTAGTCTATATTTTGCTTCTCAGATTACAATAATATTCTTAAGTATACTAGTACCTTATAATGTATACAAATCAAAGTCAGCATTTAGCTGACAATCCAGGAGAGGATTTTTTTAGTAATTTGCTTCTCATATTATATTAGTAGTATTTGATATTCTATGGACATACAAATCAGCATTCGACAAACCACCCACAAGCATTTTTCAACTCTTTTACAATTTACGTTCATTTTCTTGTTTGTGAAGCTGTTCACACGCAAAAGGCAAAGAATCTAGACTTCCGCGTTATTTAGTGCGGCAAAAATGAAACCATGAGGAATGAGTTGACTTGCTTATTAGTTTCATCTATCAACATTAGCACACAACTGGACCAAATATATATCGAATCCAGAAACCACATTAGGGCAATAAAGCAGGAAAAGAAAACAAACAAAAGCCAAGGCCAAAGTTCATATCAATTCCCTCAAAGTAGAAAACTCTGAAATGAGGCCTTTAGAGTAGAAAATTGACAGTGGGAAAAATAAAGCAGAAGTTGTTTTCATCTTTCTTATTTTGTACTCCTGCCCGTGACTGGATAAAACCATTTGCATTTACATATAGCTAACTGGGAAGTACTACAAAAAATACGATATATTATTGCTAAGCTGGACCAAATTGATCTATTCGCTTGTATTGACTATTATTATCCGGAGTCACAATCAATGGCGCATTACATGGAAAAGCACATGGAGGAAACAAGATGAAGGCTAAAGAACAGAGGAACTGCTTACCTTACAAGGCTTACATGACTTTTGACTTGTGTGCATCTCCATGATAGAAGTGAGAAGAGCTCTGTATACTGTATCTTGCTCTAGATTATTGCTGTCTAGGATTGATTTGACAAATTAACTCCATATCAACTCAACATGGATCTCTTCAATTTTGATGATTCATAGTAGCTGCAGAATCAGCTTTTTTTGTACTGTTTATTTTGCTACATTATTTAGCTTACAATCATATTATATCATGACCAACTTATTAGTGTTGGGGAAATCGGACCTTAGATTTTGTACAATTACGTTATAACTCTTTTCTCTTTTTTTTTGGCCCTAGCAAGAGAGGAATGGAATTCAAGAAATGGAGAGGGAAATGGGGTTTAGAACCTAAGGTATCTAATTCCAAGGGTTATAACTCACTTCTTCAATTACGTTAAGAACTTTTCCATTCCATTTTCTTGCTTTAGAAGCTCAATCTTTTCTGTGATTCACAGATTGCATTAACCAATTTCGAATGCCTTTTTCATAATTCATAAAATTTATGCAGCATCATCAGCTACAACATCAACAATTAAATAAACTTGTTTTAATACAAAGCCAAATACTAAACAAATAAATAAATTTTCTTTCCTTGCACTGAAAATTCTTTGGAATTTTTTTTCGCTTTCTTTGTTGTAACATTTTTGTGATACGGCAAATATAAGATAAAAA